TGCACCGTGGCCTGCCCTTCCAGCATGACCCCCCACACACCCCCAAAGGATACTGGATGCACTCAGAGGAGTTCCCCACCACCATCAGCTGCCTGTCCCAGGCCAGCACCACGGCGCGCTGCCGGCTGCGGGGGCGCGTGCACCTGCAGGGACCCCCGCCCCGCTCAGCCTGCCCTGCACTGGGGACACCAGGGGGGTCCTGCTGGGCCCAGGGCAGGGGGGCTGCTGGGGAGACCACTCACCAAACCATCTGCTTGGGGGGAGAGCGGATGCTGGTGGTGAACTCACAGAGCTTCTCCTGCGGCAGGAGAGAGAGGGGTCAGGGGGTCTCCGGGGGCTGGAGCTGCCTGGGGACTGCATCCCAAAGGGAGGAACGTTCCTCCGTGGAGCAGGAAGCTGCTTGTGCTCCACTGGGGCCCAGGGAAGGGTGAAAGGAGAAGGATCCTTCTGCCAGAGTGAGCCCAGGTGGGCAAGGAGGCCACCAGCATCCTGGCTGGTGTCAGCAGGGTGGGCAGCAGCAGCAGGGCAGGGATCGTGTCCCTGTGCTGGGCACTGGGGAGGGGGCACCTCGAGTCCTGGGGGCAGGGCTGGGCCCCTCAGGACAGGAAGGACATGGAGGGGCTGGAGCGTGTCCAGGGAAGGGCAGGGGAGCTGGGGAAGGGGCTGGAGCACAAGGGTGAGCAGGAGCAGCTGAGGGAGCTGGGGGGGTCCAGCCTGGAGCAAAGGAGCTGAGGGGAGACCTGCTGGCTCTGCAGCTGCTGAGAGGAGGTTGGAGCCAGGGGGGTCGGGCTCTGCTCCCCAGGAACAAGCCCTGGGACAAGAGGGAACGGCCTCAAGTTGTGCCAGGGGAGGTGGAGGTTGGATCTGGGGAACAATTCCTGCCTGGCAAGGGGTGTCAGGGCCTGGCCCAGGCTGCCCAGGGCAGGGGGGTAGTCCCCATCCCTGGAGGGGTTTCCAAGCCCTGCAGATGGTGCTGAGGGATGTGGGGCAGTGGGGCCTGGGCAGGGCCAGGTCAATGGTTGGTAGATATGGGTTATGGTTGCACTCCATGTTCAAGCTCTTCTCCAACCAGAACCCTGCTGTGATTCAGTCTCGGGGGCACAAAGGGCAACCAGCTCCTCCCCAGCAGGAGCCCCAGGGCACAGAGGGGTCTGCTGGGCAGGGCCCAGGCTCGTGACCCAGGCCCCTGTGCCCAAGGGACCCCAGCAGCAGTGGTGACAAGGCTGAGAGTGACCAAAAACCAGCACTAGAACCACGGCCTGGGGAACAGAACTGTGGCTGGTGGGGAGAAGGTAATTAGTGGTGGGCTGTTAATCTGGGGGGGGGGGGTTGGGGAGAGAAAGGGGGTGAGTGAGGCCAGCAAAAGGGTGGGTTTGGAAACAAAAAAATGGGGAGCAAGGTCTGGAATCAGGCAAGAGTGGAAACCGTGAGGACAGGAGTGGGGCTGCCCACGGGCAACAGCAATGACCTAAGTTCAGGGGGACCCTGGGGGAGCCTCCACCCTGCTGAGTCTGCCAGAGGGGACAGGAGGGGGGGCTGACACCCCAGTGTCCTGCAACAGGCAGGGAAGGGAGCTGTCACCTTCAGCGTGGCCAGACCCATCCAGATGTATCCAGAGTCAGTGAAGAGGGCCAGGCAGCGGTGGGTGAAGGACACGGCCATCTGCAGGTAGGCACCAGCTGAGGGGCTCATCCCAGGGGGGGTCTGGGACAGGGAGAGGAGGGGGGCACCCCTGGGGCAAGCCCGGGGACCTGCTGCACACCAGCAGCCAGGCTGCCTGGGGGTGTCCCTTCCCACCTTCAGCCCTGACCAGGATGGGGACAGAAGTTCCTGGGGTACCCACCTGAGTGTGGGACAGATGGGGACAGGGGAGGGACCCACCAGTGGGGGCTGGAGAACATCCCATGGGACAGGGGAAGGACCTGCCAGCGGGTGTTGGGGCCTGGAGAACATCCCATGGGACAGGGGAAGGACCTGCCAGTGGGTGTTGGGGCCTGGAGAAGATCCCATGGGACAGGGGAAGGACCTGCTAGTGGGTGTTGGGGCCTGGAGAAGATCCCATGGGACAGGGGAAGGACCTGCCAGTGGGTGTTGGGGCCTGGAGAAGATCCCATGTGGGCTGTTAATCTGGGGGGGGGGTGTTGGGGAGAGAAAGGGGGTGAGTGAGGCCAGCAAAAGGGTGGGTTTGGAAACAAAAAAATGGGGAGCAAGGTCTGGAATCAGGCAAGAGTGGAAACCGTGAGGACAGGAGTGGGGCTGCCCACGGGCAACAGCAATGACCTAAGTTCAGGGGGACCCTGGGGGAGCCTCCACCCTGCTGAGTCTGCCAGAGGGGACAGGAGGGGGGGCTGACACCCCAGTGTCCTGCGACAGGCAGGGAAGGGAGCTGTCACCTTCAGCGTGGCCAGACCCATCCAGATGTATCCAGAGTCAGTGAAGAGGGCCAGGCAGCGGTGGGTGAAGGACACGGCCATCTGCAGGTAGGCACCAGCTGAGGGGCTCATCCCAGGGGGGGTCTGGGACAGGGAGAGGAGGGGGTCACCCCTGGGGCACGCCTGGGGACCTGCTGCACACCAGCAGCCAGGCTGCCTGGGGGTGTCCCTTCCCACCTTCAGCCCTGACCAGGATGGGGACAGAAGTTCCTGGGGTACCCACCTGAGTGTGGGACAGATGGGGACAGGGGAGGGACCCACCAGTGGGGGCTGGAGAACATCCCATGGGACAGGGGAAGGACCTGCCAGTGGGTGTTGGGGCCTGGAGAAGATCCCATGGGACAGAGGAAGGACCTGCCAGTGGGTGTTGGGGCCTGGAGAAGATCCCATGGGACAGGGGAAGGACCTGCTAGTGGGTGGTGGGGCCTGGAGAACATCCCATGGGACAGCAGGAGATGGGAAGGAGCTGCAGTGGGTGCTGTGGCTGCAGAGCCCCCAGTCCCCGTGCACACTCACCACCACGGAGCAGGAGGTGTTGTCCAGGAGGTAGAGGTCCTGCCCCACCGCCAGCAGGACGATGGTGACCCTGTCCTGGGACAGCACGGCCCAGCAGGACGGTGGCTTCTGCAGCTCTGCTGGGCACCA